TTTCTGGCACCCGAGCTGCTCGGCAAAGCCTAGTGACTAGGGAAGGGAAGAAGAAACCATACCTCTTCACCGGACAACGTGTAAACATCTCCTCGTGAATAAGCTTAGCCACGTCAAAGTTTTGACCATTTATAAAGCACCAAATTAATACAGCTCGAGGAGCATTCACTTCCGTGGTGTTGGAGGACGGGAGCAGGCGGTTGTTATTGACATACAACCAGCACTTCCCTTCAAAGGTGAGCGCCGCTGAATGGAACTTCTTACCATATTTTGTCCACACAATTTCCTTGCCAGCTACACAAATTGACTCAAAGAATAACTCCCATTGAGTGTATTTTCTGCCATACGCTTCATAAAAATCCTCCATTTCCACCACAGGTGCGGGCAACCGTTATATTCTCCGAATAGCCTCAACTGAGGCATCCACATCCTTCTTGCGCACTGTTACTACACCATTCACATGTTCTTTTATGTTGGCATAGAATTCGCGCACAACCATCAAAATCCCATCGTCCGGCTCCTCAAAGAAAATTTCTAGCCCATGCCTGACCAGCTCATTATGCAAGTTGGGACATCCATTGTGGAGTGACCCTATATCCATGCCCCTCTTCGGTATTTGTTTCTTAGATGCCTTATCAGCAAAACAGTCCTGAGCCGCAGCGGAGACAAACCTGTTACTATCATAAGACGAGTAGGGGCTGAGGCGCGCGCTCTGGTGGATCTAGCTTGACCGCTGGATGAAGCACCGGTGGTTCGGCGTTTCTTGGAAGGTGCCATAGTACCTGGAAGAAGAATAGCATTAGCACAACACAAAAGATGTGACTCAACTGCGGTTACTTAGATTTCACCCGCACAATTGGTCACAATTACCATTGACACTCACTGTGGCATTTTAACAAACATTTTGTGGGCATCATTTACCGGAACCCCCAATTAATCATGTTGAAACACAATTACCACCTGGAGAGCTGCCTGAGCTAGAGTGGTGTATATGTTCACAAACTGTGCAAGGGTCTCCTGGAGAGCTGGAGTAGTAGCAATAGGCGTATCAGGTGCCTAGGCTCCGGCTGGAACTGCTGGTGGCTCCCTATGGCATCTCGTGCGGGTGCTCTGGCTGCACCACATGCGCATCCTCGGCCTCTATATTGGCCCCAATTTCTAGCGGCTCTAGCAGGGGGCGCGGGTGCCTGGTCATCTCCGATAACACGTGTCCTCACCATCTATGAGAGAATAGATGACAGAGATTTAGAACTTTTGATATCAAAAAAATCTCGCATGATAAAGAAATCAAATGAAGTGGAATTTTCCTAACAGTTACATAGCCTCTCGTAGATAAGTACAGACGTCTCCGTACCGATCCGCGAGACTCTAATAAAACGGCTTGTGATTCATGACTCCTATGAACCTAGAGCTCTGATACCAACTTGTTACGACCCAAGTTCTTCCTCCGTGAACTGTCGTGACGGCACCTATCTCTACGACTAGGTAACCCTAATAATTTGCGGAAAAAGGAAAACAAAGATATGAAACTAGCAATTTACGGGTAATATAATAGAAAAGTTTAAGATGCCGCTCGGCATATACAATAACAACACTCTCGACCAATATTATCACTCCCAAAATCCGGAATCTCATGAATCACAAACTAGAGGAAATACATAATGTCTAACTCCAGAAGTCTAAACAAAATAATTACAGAAGGTCTATAGCTAAAAGAGAGAATAGAGAGGGACTCCTAGGTATGCGGGCGTGACAGATATACCTCGAAGTCTCTGAGAATCGCCTCGCCTCACTGATAGTATGGTTGAGCCGAAGAACCTGGATCTGCACACGAAAAACATGTGCAGGAAAGGGGATGAGTACACCACATCGGTACCAAGTAAGTGCCAAACCTAACCTCGATCGAGTAGTGACGAGGAAGGTCAGGGCCCTACTGGTTATATACATCAATCAAGGTAAAATAGTACGAAATGTGACAATATAATTAAAGTACTAATAGTTGATACGGAGTAAAATAACAGAAAAAATATAACTCAGTACACAGAGATAGCAACAGAGGATCTCCCATGATATCGTCCCGTAGTCCCAAACATAAATGTGCAGAGGATCTCCCGGGAAATTGTCCCATAGTCCGAATCATAAATATGCCGGTGAATCTCCCGGAATACCAATCCATAGTCCCAAAGTAAATATCCAGTACAAGAGAATCTCCCGGGTGTCGTCCCGTAGTCCCAAATATAAAAGTGCAGGGGGATCTTCCGAAATACCAATCCGTAGTCCTAAAGTAAACATGCAGGGAGATCTCCCGGGATATCATCCCTTATTCCAAAGTAAACCAAAACAGTATCAAGAAAGAATCTATAGTTCTATTTGTGAATAAATAGGAATTCTACTCTAAACATGCTGCACAAAATACAAGTAAGCAGTTTAAGCAGGTAAGACGATTAGAACACATAAGCATGCTTTTCCTAAGCTAAACAAGAGGCTTCAAGTACAAGTATTGCTAAATTACAAGGAAAACACAGATATTTACTTAATAAAATGGGGGTTTTCAACAATTAGCACGTGTACGCACTCGTCACCTCACGTACACGACACTCATATAACAACAATACCAAAATCCTAAGGAGAATTCCCCCATACAAGGTTTGGCAAGCCACTTACCTCGAACCAGCTCAAAATCAATCCGAAACCACGCTCTTGCCACGAGTATCCAACTCTGGGTGGCCCAAATCTAATCAAATTAATATCATAACGTAAATACAACTACAATTATGCTTTGGACCGCACCTGCGGTTCCCAAACCGCTTCTACGGCGCCGCACCTGCAGTCCCACACACGCAGATGCGGTTATGACAGGTTCAACAACCTCAAATTTTGCCTAAGTCCAAATTCCAATCCGTTAAGCATTCGAAACTCCCCCGAGGCCCTCGGGACCTCAACCAAACATGTCAACGAATCCTAATACATCATACGAACATAGTCCAACCCTCGAATCACATCAAACAATGCTAAAACCACGAATCACCCTCCAATCCAAACCTAAAGAACTTGAAATTTCAAGAATCCTACAACCGATGCCGAAGCCAATTATACCAAGTCCGATTGACCCCAAAATTTGCGCACAAGTCACATTCAACACTACGGAGCGATTCCAACTTTTGGAATCAGATTCCGACCCCGATATCAAAAATTCACTATCGATCCGGAAACTTCAAAAATTCAACTTTCGGCATTTCAAGCCTAAATAATCTACGGACCTCCAAAACACAATCCGAACACGCCCCTAAGCCCGAAATCACCCAACGGAGCTAACGGAATCGACTCTCATTCCGAGACCGTCTTCACACTGCTCCAACTTCGGTCCAAGTTCTAAAGCTTAAGCTCTCATTTAGGGACTAAGTGTCACAAAACTCTCCGAAACTCAAAACGAATCTTTCCGACGACCCACAATGGCAGAAACAAACATGAAGAAAGCAGTTATTAGGGGATCAGAGCGTTAATTCTTAAAACGACCGGCCGGGTCGTTACACTGGCATTAGCAACATTGTGAATATTAGTTTAAGTTAAGTTCTCCTTTAACTAGAGAATGTTTCTTCGATTGTTAATCTTGAGATTGAGATTTACTATGGATCGCTGCCTAGACCCATTGATTTGATTACAACGAAATTCACTCAACTGGTGAAACTTTCACTTGAAGTAAAACCTCTCCAATATGAGGTAAGCAATTTTCCCCTCCCATAAAGAACAAACGAAAGTTGAAGTGCCTTTTTTTTTTCACTCTTATTTTTGTTTATTATCATTCTTTTCCAAAATTCAACAATCTCAAATGGCTTATACTTACTGTTGACGAAGCTATCGATAGCAGTCTACTTAATGTTACTCCACTTTTGCAAGCGTTTCCATACCTGGAAATGTTCGAGTTCAATGTATATAGAGGAGTTTATTCTTTTTAATTAATATGTCACCCTTTTTGGCTTGTCCATCTCAAAGGCTGAACAATTTTCATGCAAAAGAAAAACCAACTTTCTCCTTTTTTAGCCTTATCTGTCCTACAGCGTTTGCATTTTTCCCCTCATGTCTGAATGACCAACTGCTTTCATCTTTTGTTTTTGTTAGTTATAATATTCTTAAACATATTACAATGTATGGAACTTTTGAGGGTTAGATATATGTCATCTAGTGTCTTACTTGCTTTTGTACTTGTCATTGGAAACTAATGTTGGATCTTCAGAGGAATGTGTTGGAAAAAAAATAATTTGGGAGAGCAAGACAACAAAACACTCAAACACTCACAACTCATTTTAAGAATGGAGAAGAAATGAAATTTTTCATTCAACTTGACTTGCTTCAAATGGCTAGCATACATGGGTATTTATAGTAGAACTCCTACATGTATCTAGCCTAAACTTCATGTAAACACACTAACTAAATTCACATTAGTCTACACTAGTTCATACATCTCATAATGAAGTTCACATTAGTCTACACTAGTTCATACATATAATGAAGTTCACATTAGTCTACACTTGTTCATACATCTCATACTAATATGAACTAATCTAAACATATTTAATATAAATGTGAACTAATGGAAACAAGTTTATTATTTAACATCCCCCCATAAACTGTTTCATCACTCCAAGCGCCATCCTTAGCTTTTGAAAAACTTCAATCTTTTAATGGCTTGGTGAAAATATCCGCAATTTGATCTTGCGACTTCACATGCTCAAGCTCCACAACTTTATTAGATATACAATCTCTAATAAAGTGATACCTTGTATCTATATGCTTGCTCCTTTCATGAAATACAGGATTTTTGGCAAACTCGATAGCCGACTTGTTGTCAACAAAAATCTTTGTCGGCATCCTTTTGTGGGTTGGTGAAAGTTCCTACCAACAAAACTTCTTAACCAAATTACATGACAAACACATGAGCAAGCTGCAACATACTCCGCCTCACAAGTTGACAAAGTCACAATTGGTTGCTTCTTAGAATTTCATGTAAATGCGGAATTTCCAAGAAAGAAAACAAACCCAGTAGTACTCTTCCGATAATAAATATCACCAGCCCAGTCACTATCACAATATCCCACGGACTTGGATTCTTTCGAAGATGAATAAAGAATTCCATAATCAAGCGTACCTTTGATGTACCGAAGTATTCTTTTGGCTACCTTTAAGTGCGAGATAGTAGGAGTTTCCATAAAGCGACTCAGGAGTCCAACTCCAAAAAGAATATCCGGCCTTGTACATGACAAATACCTTAAGCTTCCAATAAGACTCTTGAAAAATATGGGATTGACTCTATCTCCATCTCCATGCTTGAATATTTTAGCTTCACATTCAACGGGGGTGCTTACGGGATTGCAATTCTCCATCTCAAATTTCTTGAGAATTTCCTTTGCATACTCTCCTTGAGAAATAAAAATGACATCCTTCCTTTGTGCTACTTGAATTCCAAGATAGTAGGACATTAGGCCAATGTCCGTCATCTCAAATTCTCTAGCCATTGCTTTCTTGAATTCTTCCAACATCTTTGGATTATTTCCTGTAATTATCAAGTCATCTACGTACAAGCAAACAAGTAAGATGTCACCATTTTTAGCATTCTTTACATAGAGGGCATGTTCATGTGGACACTTAGAAAAACTATTTGCTTGGAAATATTTGTCAATTCTACTATTTCAAGCTTGCGGGGCTTGCTTCAACCCATATAAAGCCTTCTTTAATTTCAAGACTTTATCTTCTTGTCCTTCAACCTTATATCCCGAAGGTTGATCAATATAGACCTCTTCCTCCAATAGGCCATCCAAGAAAGCCGACTTCACATCCATTTGATGGATTTACCATTGATTTTGTGCCGCCAAAGCAATGACAAAGCAAATTTTTTCCAAACGAGCAATCGGCGCAAATACTTCATCATAGTCAATACCGGCATTTTGCTTGTAGCCTTTAGCTACCAATCTTGCTTCTCCCTTGGAATTCTTCTTTAGCTTGTACACCCATTTGACTTCAATAGTGCTTTTGCCTTTTGGAAGTGTGACCAACTCCCATGTATCATTCTTTTCTATAGCTTTGATTTCTTCATCCATTGCATCCCTCCATTTGGAATTTTGGCAAGCATCTTCAAAGCTTAGAGGCTCCTGTCCACTAGCAAACAAAAATGAGTAAAATCATAAAAGTCATTTCTTACCACTTCCGTGTTTTCATACAAGTCACAGAGACTTCTACTCTTGTGAGGTAGTTCACTTGAATTTGAGCTTGATTCCCCATCTTCTTGATCTTGTGGCGGAGGTGTTAAAGGTGGTGTGATAGCCTGCTCCCCCATCTTCTTCTTCTTCATCTTCAAAAAATGGACTAAAAAAGTATTCTTGCTCTTTAGATTTCCACACCCAAGCATTATCTTCATCAAACTCAACATCTCTACTTATGGTGACCTTGCCATTTTTGGGTTTATACAATTTATAACCTTTAGAACTTTGATCATAGCCAATGAAGACACACCTCTCTTTTTGTCATCAAGCTTAGACCTCTTCTCATCTGACACATGTGCATATGTGATGCTCCCAAAAACTCGCAAATGAGAAACTTTTGGCTTGAAACCGCTCCATGCCTCGTGTGATGTTTTTCCACGAACACTTTTGGTGTGACACCGATTTGATAAGTACACCGCACAAGCAACAGCTTCAGCCCAGAACTCTTTTGGCATATTTTTGCTCTTCAACATACTCCTCGCCATGTTGAGAACAGTTCGATTCTTTCTCTCCACGACGCCATTTTGCTGTAGTGATCTCGGAACTGTCAAGTAATGACGAATTCCATTTTTCTCACATAAAATCTTGAATTCATTTGAAGTGAATTTTCCACCATTATCGGACCTAAGTGACTTAATTTGATAGCCACTTTGCTTCTCCACCATGCTCTTAAACTTTTTGAAGGTTTCAAACACCTCCGATTTTGCCTTCAAAAATTAAACGCAAGTTTTTCGAGAAAAATCATCAATGAAAAGTAACAAACAATTACTTTTACCAAGTGAAGATGGCTTGATAGGTCCGCACACATCCATGTGAATTAACTCGATAGGGCATCTTGCTCTTGTTAAAGACTCTTTAGGAAAGCTTTTCCTTGCTTGCTTTCCAAAGAGACATCCTTCACAAAGTTGGTTGGGATGATCAATTGTTGACAATTCACCATGCTTTCCTTCTTCATCAACCTTAGGCTATCAAAATTCAAGTGACCAAATCTCATATGCCAAAGCCAAAATGAATCTTTGGCACATGAAAGCAAGCACCTCGGAACATCATTTTCAAGATATAAGATGAACATTTTATTATTAGCCATAGGTACTTTGGCTAACAATATTCCCTTTTCATCTCTCATATACAACTTTTTGTCTTTCGAATGAATGTCATAATTTTTCTCCAAAAGTTGTCCCAAACTTAAAATATTACATTTCATCTACGCGCATACAAAACATTGGAGATTTATTGATGACTTCCATCTTTTAAGCGAATTAAAATCGTACCTTTTCCTTTGATTTGAACTCACGAAAAGTCTCCAGAAGTGATTGGGCCACCATTCAGCTCCTTAAGCTCCACAAATAAATTTTTCTTTCCACAAATATGACTACTTGTACCGGAGTCAAGGTACCATTTGTTCTTTTCCACACTTTCTTCTCCTTTGCATGCAAGAAGTAGAGTGGCATCTTCATCTTCATTTTTGCTCTCCACAAAGTTGTTTTTGTCCTCCGAATTATCTTTACATTCCCAGGAAAAATGTCCAAATTTATGACAAGTATAACATTCAACATTCGGTTTGTCATACCTTCCTTGATTTTGTCTCCATCCTTTGCCTCTTTCACGACCTCATCTTTGACTATAGTCTTGGCTTTTATTGTCTCTATTTGGTGGTTGACTACCACCTCTTCCTCCTCTACCACGACCTCTGTGCTGCGAACCATGCCTTTCATCTTTCTCCTTGAAGGAAAGTTTTGGTTGCAACGCCTTTTCAACCGATTCTTCTTTCGGTTTCTTCAATTTTTCTNAAATACCTTAAGCTTCCAATAAGACTCTTGAAAAATGTGGGATTGACTCTATCTCCATCTCTATGCTTGAATATTTTAACTCCACATTCAACGGGGGTGCTTACGGGATTGCAATTCTCATCTCAAATTTCTTGAGAATTTCCTTTGCATACTCTCCTTGAGAAATAAAAATGACATCTTTCCTCTGTGCTACTTGAATTCCAAGATAGTAGGACATTAGGCCAATGTCCGCCATCTCAAATTCTCTAGCCATTGCTTTCTTGAATTCTTCAAACATCTTTGGATTATTTCCTGTAAATATCAAGTCATCTACATACAAGCAAACAAGTAAGATGTAACCAGTTTTAGCAATCTTTACATAAAGGGCATGTTCATGCAGACACTTAGAAAAATCATTTGCTTGAAAATATTTGTCAATTCTACTATTCCAAGCTCGCGGGGCTTGCTTCAACCCATATAAAGCCTTCTTTAATTTCAAGACTTTATCTTCTTGTCCTTTAACCTTATATCCCGAAGGTTGATCAATATAGACCTCTTCCTCCAATAGGCCATTCAAGAAAGCCGACTTCACATTCATTTGATGGATTTTCCATTGATTTTGTGCCGCCAAAGCAATGACAAAGCGAATTGTTTCCAAACGAGCAACTGGCGCAAATACTTCATCATAGTCAATACCGGCCTTTTGCTTGTAGCCTTTAGCTACCAATCTTGCTTTGTACCTTTCTATTTCTCCCTTGGAATTCTTCTTTAGCTTGTACACCCATTTGACTCCAATGGTGCTTTTGCCTTTTGGAAGTGTGACCAACTCCCATGTATCATTCTTTTTTATAGCTTTGATTTCTTCATCCATTGCATCCCTTCATTTGGAATTTTGGCAAGCATCTTCAAAGCTTAGAGGCTCACTGTCCACCAGCAAACAAAAATGAGTAAAATCATACAAGTCATTTCTTACCACTTCCGTTTTTTCATACAAGTCACAGAGACTTCTACTCTTGTGAGGTGCTTCACTTGAACTTGAGCTTGATTCCCCAACTTCTTGATCTTGTGGCGGAGGTGTTGAAGGTGGTGTGATAGCCTGCTCCCTATCTTCTTCTTCATCATCTTCAAAGCATGGACTAAAAGAGTATTCTTGCTCTTTAGATTTCCACTCCCAAGCATTATCTTCATCAAACTCAACATCTCTACTTATGGTGACCTTGCCATTTTTGGGGTTATACAATTTATAACCTTTAGAACTTTGATCATAGCCAATGAAGACATACCTCTCACTTTTGTCATCAAGCTTAGACCTCTTCTCATCTGACACATGTGCATCTGCGATGCTCCCAAAAACTCGCAAATGAGCAACTTTTGGCTTGAAACCGCTCCATGCCTCTTGTGGTGTTTTTCCACGAACACTTTTGGTGTGACACCGATTTGATAAGTACACCGCACAAGCAACAGCTTCAGCCCAGAACTCTTTTGGCATATTTTTGCTCTTCAACATACTCCTCGCCATGTTGAGAACAATTCGATTCTTTCTCTCCACGACGCCATTTTGCTGTGGTAATCTCGGAACTGTCAAGTAATGATGAATTCCATTTTTCTCACATAAAATCTTGAATTCATTTAAAGTGAATTCTCCACCATTATCGGACCTAAGTGACTTAATTTGATAGCCACTTTGCTTCTTCACATGCTCTTAAACTTTTTGGAGGTTTCAAACACCTCGGATTTTGCCTTCAAAAAATAAACCTAAGTTTTTCGAGAAAAATTATCAATAAGTTAAAAAATAATTACTTTTACCAAGTGAAGATGGCTTGATAGGTCCGCACACATCCATGTGAATTAACTCGAGAGGGCATCTTGCTCTTGTTAAAGACTCAATAGGAGAGCTTTTCCTTGCTTGCTTTTTTCAAAAGAGACATCCTTCACAAAGTTGGTTAGGATGCTCAATTGTTGGCAATCCATTCACCATGCTTTCCTTCTTCATCAACCTTAGGCTATCAAAATTCAAGTGACCGAATCTCATATGCCAAAGCCAAGATGAATCTTTGGCACATGAAAGCAAGCACCTCGGAACATCATTTGAAGATATAAGATGAACATTTTATTATTAGCCATAGGTACCTTGGCTAACAATCTTCCTATAATCAGTTCTAAATCTACACGAAAAGAATTAGATAATCCTTGTCCCTTGATAACTTTATAATCAAAAGAATGGCAATTAGCTCAAATTTGAAATTCAGCACAGAAAAAATTCAGCATAGTTATGGCAGCATAAGACAGATACAGAAGTATACTGCTCTGAACTACGTAGGCATGTTAGTGTACCATTGCATCTATCAACAAAGTATTGTATACCTGCGTTCGCGCTCTGCTATTGTATGATCCAAAATAATAACATAAGCCAAGTCAGTGGTTGGATATGCTGCCNAAGGTACCATTTGTTCTTTTCCACACTTTCTTCTCCTTTGCATGCAAGAAGTAGAGTGGCATCTTCATCTTCATTTTTTGCTCTCCACAAAGTTGTTTTTCTCCTCCGAATTATATTTACATTCCCAGGAAAAATGTCCAAATTTATGACAAGTATAACATTCAACGTTCGATTTGTCATACCTTCCTTGATTTTGTCTCCATCCTTTGCCTCTTTCACGACCTCATCTTTGACTATAGTCTTGGCTTTTATTGTCTCTATTTGGTGGTTGACTACCACCTCTTCCTCCTCTACCACGACCTCTTTGCTGCGAACCACGCCTTTCATCTTTCTCCTTGAAGGAAAGTTTTGGTTGCAACGCCTTTTCAACCGATTCTTCTTTCGGTTTCTTCAATTTTTCTTCATGGGCTTGCAAAGAACTCGAAAGTTCATCTATGGTCATGGTGTCCAAGTCTTTGGACTCTTCAATAGCAACAACAATATAATCAACTTTTGAATCTAGGGATCGTAGTACTTTTACAACGACCCTATCATCCTTCAACTCTTCACCATATCTTTTCATCGATTGACAATAGCCAAAACTCTTGAAATGTAATCTGAAACAGATTCATTTTCTTTCATATGCAATGATTCAAACTCTCCTCTTAAGGTTTGGAGGCGAACTTTTTTCACTTTGTCCAAACCTTTAAAAGAAGTTTGAAGAATATCCCATGCTTCCTTGGAGGTTGTTGCATTTGCAACCTTCTCGAACATCTTGTCATCCAAATCTTGATGGATGAGAGTGAGTGCCTTTTGATCCTTCTTCTTTGAGGCAACGACATCTTCTGCTTCATCAACACCGGACTCTACTGGTTCCCAAACATCATAGGCACCAACAAAGGCCTTCATTCGAATACACCAATTTCCATAGTTCTCTTTTGTAAGCATAGGAACTTGGAATGGTGTTCCGTTAGAATTCGTCATCTTTTCTCCAAGTTTGTTGTCTTCAACCACACCGGCTCTGATACCAAATGTTGGAAAAAAAATAATTTGGGAGAGCAAGACAACAAAACACTCAAACACTCACAACTCACTTTAAGAATGGAGAAGAAATGAAATTTTTCATTCAACTTGACTTGCTTCAAATGGCTAGCATACATGGGTATTTATAGTAGAACTCCTACATGTATCTAGCCTAAACTTCATGTAAACACACTAACTAAATTCACATTAGTCTACACTAGTTCATACATCTCATAATGAAGTTCACATTAGTCTACACTAGTTCATACATATAATGAAGTTCACATTAGTCTACACTTGTTCATACATCTCACACTAATATGAACTAATCTAAACATATTTAATATAAATGTGAACTAATGGAAACAAGTTTATTATAATTTTAACAGAATATAGTACTGTTATAAGATGTGGCAAAACCGTGAAGGATGGAAAGATTATCATAATCTATACATTGTCAAATTAAGTACAGTAATACACAACTTTCTTTGATATACACACATTCAATTTCTGATTTAGATTTTGAAGGAACCAGTTACTCCACTATATTTCAGGTTAAATGGACTAATACAAGGATCTATGATCAATTTATTTTGGAGCTACGTAGGCAAAATCCATATCAACATCTCAAAATGGTGAGATGTAAGCTTTGATTATTGGTTCCTTCCCACCCTCCACCCCACCCACTCATACCACAAGCTTTGAGAATAGGCTTGATAGAAACGTATTGATCATGATTCAAGTCATGTTTTATTGGAAATCAGCTCTCTCAATATTTTGCTTTTAGCTTTAAAAGATACAATTCTTCTACCAATGAATTACCTTTTTGTATATGTATCCTTTTGCGGTTCCCCTCCCTTGTTCTTGGTTGGTTTCCCTCTATTTCAACTTCTTATATATGTTCTTCCACTTTCGAATCCTTCATACATAGAAAAAATATAAATCCTTCTTCCTTCACTACAAAAAAAAAAAAAAAAAATTAGGCGAAGGCTACAACAAAAGAGATGCAAAAGGAAGAAAATTACAATTGATTGAGGATAATTTTGGAGTGGATTGTGCAGTAAAAAGAATTCTTTTCAACTAAATCCTCAATTGTATCTTTTGCAGAATTGTAATAGAAAGAGTTTGACTCTATATCGGTTCGGACAATATCGATGTAACCTGGAATTTGGGTTTAAGTCAAATCAGTTAAATATATAGAAGAGACCTAAAGCAATTAAATTTGAACTAAGTGTTTTTCACTTTCAAGAATGTTTAGAGGATAAAATAAGAGTAAACAAAACTGATAAACGAAATAAGACTCAAAGGAAATTCTTATATATCTATCTTGGCGTAGCTTGATGGCTTGCTATAACTGAGTAAGAATAACAATTTTAGCAGAGTGATAACAATACCATTTATAGAATAATCCTTTACAAATGAGGGGTGAGGGTTATTTATACTCTAAACTTAAAGTAACTATTTTCCTAATCTCACGCCTACCCGCCTATCCGTTACTTGCATTATCTGCCTTTAACGCAAATCTCACTCATTACGTTTGTATAAGGTTTAACTGACGGTCTCAATCTTGCGTATCTTGAAATCTGGCATTGCTGGGTGAGTACTTACTCGGAACCTTAACAACTTCTCGGCATGTCAGGCCCGTGAAGTTATTTATTCGGAATGTACCCGGAGTTGATATTTGTATCCTAGATCTTCGACTCAAGAGACTAAAGATAATTGCGGACTTAGCTAGGGAATTCTTTCCACCTGTCATCCATTTTAGCCGGCCATGTATTATAGCTATATTTTACATGTCGGACACGTATCTTGCCGCACATCTAACCTTCCATAATTTCCAACAGACAACAATAGGGGTAATTTTCATCATCAGTTGGTGTACATTATTGTTGGCTTTGATACTCCACCACTGGGACAACGTATTAATGCCAACAAGAGGTCTTTCATTATTGGTATGGTCCCTTTCGTCCTCCCCATCCAATACCAAGGACTTTGGAAATATGCAATTTCATTGGAAATAGCTTCAATCTCATGAACATATATATACTCCAAACATGCACATCGAGTGAGCATGTGTGGCCCTGAAATACAAATTGTCCTATAAATATTATTAATTAAACATTAATTTCAAATTCGTTCTCGTTATAATGGAGATAAAATTGTTTAAATAAATTGTAAATTTATAGGAAGAATTATACGATTGCAACAAGAAAGGGAGAAAGAGAGAAACTGATTATTTAAAGTATAGGAATCTTACCCTTCATCTTCTACTGCAACAAAAGGTTCCTTTTTTTAGCCTTAGGAGAAATTGGAAAATGATCATGGAAGCAGCGACGTACATTTTAATTATTGGTTCCGCCCATACCACAAACATTTTAATTATAAGTAACAAGATTTTATTGTGAGCACCTAATTTTTATCCTAATATATAATTACTCCTATAAATAATCCAAAAAATAATTTTAATTGTTTTAGAAGTTTTTCTTTATTTGTTTTGCATTTATTCACATTGATATGCATGTTAGGAATATCATAAATTAAGAAAATCATGAAAAATATTTAAATCTTAATTTCATAGCATTTTAGATTTTAGTTGTATTTTTAGGATTTGATTTAGATTTTTAATTAATTTTATTAGGTTAAAAATCAAAAAAAAGGGAAAAAGAAAAGAGAAAGGAGAAGGTTTTAATTGACCTCAAAATCTGCCAGCCCAAGCCCCCACCTAAAACCCTCATTTAAAGACCCTTCCCTTCCTAAAAAAAACCCTGGCAGCTAATCTTCCTCTCTCACCGATCTAGCCGCCGGAAACAGAGAGGCAGAACGGCAACAAGCTATGAGGAGACAAAAGCGGATCCCCCTTTTACAAAGACCTAGCAGCAGCTTTCCTTTCGAAGTTTCTCAAAGCCGCAACTTCTTCTTCTACAGCTTAGCTTCTTTTTCCTCCATCCCAGAAAATACAGCAGCTTCACCACCTCCAAACCACCACCAAAACTCCATTTCTAGCCAAGAGAGTAACTTGAAAACTCCATGAAAACTAGCTGAAACTCCAGCTCAAATCCCTTACCCGAACAACCTCCTAAAGCGCAGCAAAAACTAGCTGCAAATAGCCCTCAAAGCCAGCTAAAAAAAACAGCCGCATAAATCTGGCAAAACAGCTGAAACAATCCCAAAAAATGCAGCTGCGTCGCACCTCGAAACAGTCCGAGTTTTCAGCCAGAAACGCATACAAAATCAGCTTGAGAAGCTCCACGAAAATAGCCTTCTTTCATGCCTATTAGCGTCTAGTTCGAGGTCGCCGTCGCTGGTTTCCGGTCGTGGTCAGTGGTGTTCGGTCCGTTTGTTGAATTGTAAAGCTTTAAAAATTTAGATTCGGCAATAAAGATGTCAACATACTGTTGCCTCCCAAAATGACTCACCCTGTTGAGTATAGACTTCAATGAGTAATGGTTGCTTCAAATGGTATGTCCCTATTTCCAACATTCATTTCTGTTTGGTGCATTAGCTCTGTGAGTGTAGATGATAGATTTTAATTAACTTTTATGCTACGTAGGCAGTCTCTTAGCTATGTTCTCTGCTTAATTCTTGAAGTTTATGCTGGATTTTTTTTCATCTGTTGGTCATTGTCTTGTCTTAGCTTCCTTTGATATTTGAGGTTTTGGTAATGGGTGATGCCTATTTCTTTATACGTTATTAATAGCAAGTTATTGTGTGTTTGAAGAGCTATTATAAATGAAGTTTCATTAGTTTATGGATATAGAGGATATCAAAATTAACTTGTGTTGTCATGTGTTTTCTTTATTATTATTAAGGAAGAGTATTAGATACAAAAGCAAGAAATCTAGTTCCTTGGAATAAGACCTGAAATTTGAGGCTGGAGTACAATTTTATTTCCAATTTGTTAAACACTTTTAAGTCATGCTCACCTAGTTTTCTATTTACCACGTAGCTCTGGGGTAGCAGAACTTTTTACCAGGTCTTTTGCTTTTCACATACTGTAAACGTAGTCATTTTTTCCTCGATTTGGGATTCTAAAAATAAACCGGTGATTTGGGACACTATATAATTATTCTAAATGGCGATTCTGAAATTAAATAAATAATCCCATTTCGATTATGTTACTTTAATTGGAAAACCCCCCTATCCCTTCGGGATAAAGGAGGTGTGACAATTATTTGCAAAAGAAGACAATAAGAAAAGAGTTACAAACTAAAGTAAATTAACACCAATAATTAATGAAAGAGAGCTTTTACACACACATACACACACATATATATATATATATATATATATATATATATATATATATATATATATATATATATATAACAAAGAAAAAAAATTCAACATAAACTAAATTAAATTAAACTAACAAAAGAAAAATAATTTCAAATAGATATACATGCAAGTCTTAGCAAATTTTATGAAATGGAGAACTAAAATTACCTTATGGAATAAAATAAACTTCAATATAATTTCTATTGAATTTATGTAAAGAAAATAAACTATAAAGTAAAATAAATAAAGCTGCAGAATATATACAAGGAAAATAATTTGATTTGATTGCAATGACCATTATAATTAGGCTATGCTGCTAACTTTATGATTTTTCTTTTCTTTTCTGATTCTTGTTGCAATTATTCAAAAAAACAAACGTAGGCACAAAAGATGAGAAGGATTCAAACACAAGATCTTACTAATACTATGAACCCGCTTGACCACTTTTGCTAGAGCAAAGCTTTTGTCAAGTGGGTTCAAATATAATTTTTATATAATATAATTTTTGTATAAGATTTACGTTGCTTTAATCGTAATTTATACAATATTATTTTTTAATAAAGCGGGTTAAGTTCAACCTAACTACGTGGGTCTGGCATTCATGAATACTGCTGTATGATTTAAGAGAGGCCATCGAATAAGGAGTGCAAGACTAGCGCGAGTTACCATGCTAAACTAAAAAAGAAATAAAAATACAAGCTATAAAAGCAAAAGAACAAAGTCAAAATTAGAACATAACAATCAATATATACTGCTGCCATAGAAATCCGGCTAAATCAAATTCTAAAGTTCTCTACTGTGGGAGTTTAATAAAATAGGGGTTAAAATCATTCGTCGTTACCTTTCCACAATCATAAGATAATGATTAATTATCAACCGATATTCCTGGCAAGACAACCGTATAAGTTGCAACTGAAAAGCGATCAAGTGTACTGTTAAGTATGGTTTAGTAGCGCATATAAGAGTTGTATTGAATAGAGTGTATTAATTGTCAGCACCTAATTTTTAATCATATTTGGACTTTTTTATTACCTTTTGTTATTTAAATAGTTTTTAATTTAATCTTGATATTTTACCTTTTGTTTCACCTTTTATAGGTTTTATTTAAGAAATTTAAAAACCAACAAAAAGATTCACATTTTTAGATCATTAAATTATCTTCTAATTTGCAAAAGAAAAGAAAATTCACAAAAAATATATTTTTTCTTTTAGTTTTAATAATTTGGTGACTTTTGTAAATGTTCCTTTAATAGTTTGTATTTTTTTGCTTGACTAAAAATAATTGATTAGAGTTCCAATACACAACTAGCACATAAGGTGACGTTTCTTATCCATGCACTGATTTTTAAAAAGGAATCACTTTGTAGAGTCTTGGAGAACCATTTCTTCATTTCACAAAGAAATTCACACGTCAGATGCATATCTGAAAAAGACTCCCTTTTCGATTTTTCCACGGACTCAAATAGTTTTTGGCAGAAAAAGATTCGTCCTTTTCCTTTCCCTTTCCTTTATTCCCCAGGTCACGCGCACACACAACGGACACCCACTCGTCCCCTGCTAACGGAGTTTTGCTCCTCCTTGATTTCTGTGATAAAAACACGCACAAGGGGGGGAATAGGAAGGCATAGAAATACAGATCTAAAAAGCTAGGTCTGGGAAAAGGAGGGAGGAGCCAGCCACACAAACAAAAAGAAATTTTCTTTTCTTCTCTGTAACTCCATTTTTCCTTTTCTCTGCTGTGAGCTCACTATAGAAGTCATGAAAACTTCTGCACCAAACTCGTGAAAATGCAGCCATGAAAGGCCAATGTTCAGCTACTTCCTTGTCCTATTTTTGCTACCAAAATAGCCACAAAACACCTCAAACAAGCTTACAAATACCTAAAACAACCAGATCTTCATCATCACAAACACCCAGCATTTTCTCCATAAAAAGTGGTTTGATTTTCTCCATTAAAACCATGCAAACAGCCCCCAAAACCACCCTGAAACACTCGCAAAATAGCTGAAAAACAGTCATTAAAACCTGCAAAAACGTAGCTGCTCCGACCCTGTTGAGCTTCGAATTTTCCCGGTAGGCTTTAAGGTTGCCGCCGTTGAGGACCTTTCGTGGTTCAGTTCGCGTTTCTGCTCGAAGTATGATCGTCGTATCGAGTTCTGGTCGCAACTGTCCCTTTGTTTCAGTCCGTGTAACTGTTGGAATTTTTATTAATTGAAAACAACTTCAGGTTCCATTCTTTCCTCTCTCATTCTATTCTAATGTCGATTTTAATATGGTATGATCCCAGACTATGATTTTTCTGGATTTCTGATGGGAAATTGATTTGAGTGAACTCTTATTTCTCTGTTGTTTGTCAAGTTTTGACTTTTGCTAAGTTCCCCTAAAAAAGGGTGTTGTGTCAAGTCCAAAGTAAGCAGATTCAAAATGTTCAGTCTATCTTCTCATATATTGGTGCTTCTGTGAATACCTGTGACAAAACCAGTCTTTCATTAGTATTGCCCGGAAGATATGGTAGAGTGTAGGCTTCCCATCTTCTATAAATGGAACATGATTAGTTATGAAAGACTAGAACCAACCTAATTAAATGTGTGCTCAAGATGTCCACGGTAACATAGGTGATAAGTGGTGTGCCATTATTTTTACTTGTGCGGCTCAACTGCCCGAATTGGGTCGTGGGAATTGGGGAAAGGTCGAGCTCATTAGTCTAGGAAGAGTAATGAACATCGTTAGAGTGCTTTAGGCGCGTTTTGAAATTATTATCGTGATTATGCATACGTTTGCGGACATAGTTACTATTTCCAAAAGGTAAAAGGTAAAAGGTAAAATGTTCGTAGGTTCTAAAAATACGTAATTAAACAAATTATTAAGCCAGGTTTGTTTAAAAGTGACCATGCCAAAACCACGAAACTCGAGGATGTCTAACACCTTTTTGCAAGGTTAACATAATTTCTTACTCGGTCTTTTGGTTTCGCAGACTTTAAAATAGAGTCAAATTTAATCGATTTGAGATTTAAAATAAATCGGTGACTTGAGACACCATGAATTATTCCAAGTGACGACTCTGAATTAAATAAATAATCCCATTTTGATTAATGTCACTTAAATTGGAAAAACTCCCTATCCCCTCGGGAAAAAAAGGAGGTGTGACATTAATAATAATGGGATTAGTTATACTAAAATTATTTCTCATCAACTGATTGGTTTGCTGTACTAAAGATAGCATGCATTGCACAATTTATTTGTTTACTAAAATACCCTCCACATTCTTTAGAAAGTATTTGGAAAAGATTTTGAAAGAGTAGTTATGTCTTTATATATGCTTATTTATATATTAAAAATTATAGTATTGCTAATGCCATAGTTTTCTATTTTTAAGAATAATACTGAATAGGATGTATGTTGTATTAAGTTATTGAAAAATACTATCAAATAGGGATTAATAAATACTATCAAAATTAGTATATACATTATTTTTTCCAATACATCCTACCAAACGATCCCTTAATTAATGACCTAATTTAAGTTACCAAATATATCAACAATCAAATTAATAAAATTCCATTTCAAGTCGCTTTGGATCCCATACTCTACAATATATTCTCTATATTATTGTACCAAAGCTTGAATCAGGAATCTTGTTTACAAAAATATAGTAAGATTTAAAGCATATAATTCAATTAATGCACAATGCCTTACTAAATCATAAAGATTAAGTTATTAAACGTGCGCATACTGTAGAGGAGGAAAAAAAAGAACACAAACGCACAATCAGTCTCATGCATGAAACATACGTACATACATATTGACACAAGCACGATTATTAGGAAAGAAAAACACATACTAGACACACACGCACAAAGCAAAACACTACTTGTTCTTCCGCTTAAAGTCAATAACACCTTTATGCTCCTTCTCCAGCTTTCCAACCCTCTTGTAGTAACCCTTCTCGTTGCTGGACTTGACATCTATTGTGCCGCTCCAATCTGGCTTATGCTCAAGAAAAACATTCAGGTCGTCTACTGCATGCATGCCATCAACAGTACGATGGTATCTGTGATCTGCCACCTCTTTTGCTTACTTTGTTGCAGCGCCCTCGGCTATGCTCTTTTATTTCTCTCTATCTAAGTTAAGACTCTTGTGCTCGAGAAAAAGTGTAGAGTCCATGTTGGTCTCCTCTGCCTTCAAAGTAGAGTTAGTTTAAAGAGGGAAAGGGGAAGAGTTAGTTGGTACCAGGTTAGAGACAAAGAAAGAAAGAGAAATGCAATTATCCATACTAAGTAATTGTCCATTTTTGCCTTAGCTTTTCCTTTTCCTTTTCCGCTGCCATCTTTTGATTTGTTTGCAATTCCCTGATCCCTTTATTTATAGCTCTTCCACTTCCCTATCCTCCATAAGAGAACTAAATTCTAGCTTCCTTCGTTGAATTGCAAAAAAGATAAAAGAAAAATAGAAGGACAAGCTCGCAACAGCGGAAAAGGAAAAGTATGGATAACTATATTTTCTTTATTTCTAACATGTTACCAACCAACTCTTCTCCTTCCCTCTTTAAACTCTCATTTGCAGGTAACGGAGGAAGAAACCCATGCAGAGGTCGTGATTGGACAAAGGCAGAGAACTATTATAGACAACATTCATCCAGCTAACGCCGTAGACTTCTTTCTAGCAAATAAGAACAATTGGCGTGGAACTGTAGTGATGTTGGAAAGTAACGAGAAAAAGTACGACATCAAGGTCAGTGGCCTCAATGCAAAGTATGAAGATGTTACCTTTGAGTAGTAGCATTAGAGGGGGAGTAGTAAGGTGTTATTGATTTTAAGCGGAAGAACAAGACCGAGCAAAAAACTACTTGTTCTTCCGCTTGAAGTCAATAACACCTTACTACTCCCCCTCTAATGCTACTACTCAAAGGTAATATCTTCATACTTTGCTTTGAGACCACTGATCTTGATGTCATAGTTTTTCTTGTTACTTTCCAACACCAATACAATTTCGCGCCAATTGTTCTTATTTGCTAAAATTAAGTCCACGGCGTTAGCTGCATGAATGTTGTCTATAATAATTCTCTTCCTTTGTCTAATCACGACCTCTGCATGGGTTTCTTCCTCCGTTACCTGCAAATGAGAGTTTAAAGAGGGAAGGAGAAGAGTTAGTTGGTAACATGTTAGAAATAAAGAAAATATAGTTATCCATACTTTTCCTTTTCCGCTCTTGCGAGCTTGTCCTTCCATTTTTCTTTTATCTTTTTTGCAATTCAACGAAGAAAGCTAGAATTTAGTTCTCTTATGGAGGATAGGGAAGTAGAAGAGCTATAAATAGAGGGATCAGAGAATCGCAAACAAATCAAAAGATGACAGCAGCGGAAAAGGAAAAGGAAAAGCTAAGGCAAAAATGGACGATTACTTGGTATGGATAATTGTATTTCTCTTTCTTTCTTTGTCTCTAACTTGGTACCAACTAACTCTTCCGTTTTCCCTCTTTAAACTAACTCTACTTTGCAGGCAGAGGAGACCAACGTGGACTCTACACTTTTTCTCGAGCACAAGAGTCTTGACTTAGATAGAGAGAAACAAAAGAGCATAGCCGAGGGCGCTGAAACAAAGTAAGCAAAAGAGGTGGCAGATCACAGATACCATCGTACTGTTGATGGTATACATGCAGTAGACGACCTAAATATTTCTCTTGAGCATAAGCCAGATTGGAGTGGCACAATAGATGTCAAGTCCAGCAACGAGAAAGGTTACTACAAGAGGGTTGGGAAGCTGGAGAAGGAGCATAAAGGTGTTATTGACTTTAAGCGGAAGAACAAGTAGTGTTTTGCTTTGTGCGTGTGTGTCTAGTATGTGTTTTTCTTTCCTAATAATTGTGCTTGTGTCAGTATGTATGTATGTACGTATGTTTCATGCATGAGATTGATTGTGCGTTTGTGTTCCTTTTTTTCCTCCTCTATAGTATGCGCACGTTTAATAACTTAATCTTTATGATTTAGCAAGGCACTGTGCATTAATTGAATTATATGTTTTAAATCTTACTATGTTTTTGTAAACAAGATCCAATTGGCATGGAGTAGACTGTAGACATTTGAAAACGACATCAGAACTTGACGCGTTTAACTGCAATCAATAGATAAACTTTGTTTAGGCTGTAAAGGTGATGGGCAGCATTCGAGAAAGAGACAAAGTACGAGGAATGACAATAAAGCTTTGCACAAGAAATGACTCTTCTTCTTTTTTTTTTCTCGATAAAAGAGGAAATATGTTGGCCCAAGTTCAGGTGAAGTTTTGAAGAATGACAAATGAACTCAGTCATGGACGAGGTCCATCATGTGAGACACAGTATTTATCAACCTATACATGTGAGATACACGTGAAGGAGATAAGTCTCAAGGATAAAGCGGCAATATCTCCCGAACTGATCGAAAAGGTTGCATATTAGAGAGGAAAGAAAGTATACTCATGGGAAGAGGACACAATCTGGATTAAGGATAGGGTTAAAGTTTGTATTGTTCAAGGATTCAACTTCGATGGAAAATCAACAATTGAGTCTCAATCAAACTCTGATTACTAACTCATTAAATAACAGTGATTGTTCTCTTTTACAGGTGTTGCACAAACGTAGAAGTGAAACTAAATTGAGAGCAAAAGAGCGAGACAATTTTGCAAGCAATTTATGTGAGATTCAATTGTGCATTCCTGAAGCTAATTGGACAAGATAGAAGAACAATTCCATTGTGTTTATTTTATTCTAGTTTAATTGTAGTAGGTGGTTTAATAGGTACTTTGAGTATTCAAGTTAAAGGCTAACTTGAATGTGTTGCAACAGTTGAGGCTGTGTGCCACACTGGGATTAGAGTTTAATCCTTAGGTTTACAAGAGTTCTGTAAATGCTGTTTTGGCTCAGTGATTTTAGTGGAACTGAATAGTAGGTCGTGGTTTTTTCACCTTTTGAGCCAGGTGTTTTCCATGTAAAAATCTTTGTATTCTTTATTTTATGTATTCTTAATTCCGCAAACAGTAGTAGTAAGTACACATAGAAGAATCAGGTTCTTCTAGAGCGAAAATTGGGTACCACACAAATCCCCCCTCTTGTGTGGTATTGACGTTTAGAACATCAATTGGTATCAGAGTAGGTTATCCTTGAAGAGACTAACACCTTAGGAGAATATTAACATGAGTGCACCACCTGAGAACTGGGAAGGGAAATCCACTGCTAGGCCTCCATTTTTCAATGATCAGTACTATTCTTGGTGGAAGAACAGGATGAAAAATCACATCATAGGGGAAGGCTATGAACTCTGGGACATAGTCACTGATGGTCCCCTAGCAACCACAAAGAAGAATGCTGAAAGAGTTGATGTACCAAAGACAAGGGCTGACTGTACTGCTGAAGACCTGAGGAAGTGGGAGCCAAGAAATGGCTTTGTGTGGACTAGGTCCAGATGAGTACAGTAGGATCCAAAGTTGTACTACTGCTAAGGAGATATGTGACACCTTGCAAGTGGCTCATGAGTGAAAAGATCAAGAGGAACACTGCTATATTTTTAATATGAGAATTTTACTATGAAGGAAGGAGAAAGTATCCAGGAGATGTATACTAGGTTCACTACTCTAACAAATGAACTTAAATCTCTTAGAAGGGTTATTCTTGAAGAAGACAAGGTTGAGAAAATTCTGACAAGGGTTCTGCCAGTCACATGGGAAAGCAAAATCACTGCTATTCGGGAATTCAAGAATATTGCTACTCTCAGACTGGATGAACTGATTGGAAATCTGACTGCTTATTAAATGAGAAGGCAAACCATGAAGATGGATACCCCTAAGAAGGAGAGAAGCTTATCTCTCAGAATTGTTGAAGGTTCAGATCTGGAAGATGATTAGATGGCTATGATCACTAGAGATTTCAAAAAGTACCTGATGAGAGGAAATGGTTCTTCAAGAGGTACAACCTTCAACAAGACAAGAGGTCCTGAGAAACAGATCAATGAGGGTTGCTACAAGTGTGGTAAGACTGGTCACATGATCACGAACTGCCCTCAATGGGAAATTGAGTGGAAGAAAGAAAGAGCTGAACGAAGGAACAAGAAGAAGGAACATGTTCAACCAAAAAGAAACAAAGGTTCAAACAAGGCTATGGTTGCTGCTTAGGGAGAAACCTCAGATGAAGACTCAGAAGATGAAGCTGAAGAAGAGCAAGCATTGATGGCCATCGGAAAATCAGATGATGAACAAGAGGTAAGTATTCTTCATCTCAAAGACAAGATTAAATTCTTGTCTAAAGAAAGGTTGACTGAGCTATTACTAGACTTCATTGATAAGTCTGAAATAATTAACAATGAGAAGAAAGTTCTGTCTAGGGAATGTGTGATCCTAAAAGAAAAATGCAAAAGTCTAGAGTCTAGGGCAAATGAGAGTGATAACAAAAATGCTGAGTTGAAGAACCAGGTTCTTGAACTTGACAACAGTGTCCTAGAACTTAGGTCTGAAAACTTAAAACTGAAACTAGGAACAGGAAAGAAGAAAGCTGATCACACATATCTCACTCTAGAAGAAATTTGGGAAAAATGAAAGATGAATTGTATAAGAAAGATGAATTCATCAAAGGCTTAAAGGAAGATCTAGGAAAGGTGAAATATGAACTAGACAAAACTTGCAAGTGGAACAAGGCTTCTGATGCACTCTCCTGGCTGCAAGAGCATCACAGTAGCAACAAAAGAGGACTTGGCTATGGGACTCAAGCTCCAAAATGGGATCCTAAAAGCAAGTACCTCACACTTCCTGAAAATAAAATATGCACACTGTGGTAACACTGGCCATTACAAATATGAATGTAAGGCAAAAGAACAAGCCAGTCAAAAGAATAAAGCCTTTGTTCAAGAAAAAGGTAAGCTGGCAAAAAGAAATTTGATTCGCCCTTTTGCTTATAAAAAGGGACCCAAACTAGTTTGGGTTCCTAAGACTAACCCCTGATTTCCTTTTGCAGGTCCAAGTGAAAGAGAGGAGCCAAATATGGTATATGGATAGTGGCTGCTCAAAACATATGATTGGGGATAAGGACCAGTTCTTTTCACTTGAGGACTTAAAACGAGGTAATGTCTCCTTTTGAAATGGAAAGAAAGGTGAGATCATTGGGGTTGGAAAGGTAGGCAAAACAGATTCTCATTCCATAGAGAATGTCTACCTGATAGTTGGCTTGAAATATAGCCTAATAAGTGTTACAATTGTGAGACAGAGGTAACCTTGTGGCTTTTACCTCCACCAAATACTTTGTGATTAACCTTATCACTGACAAGATTGTTTTGCAGGGAAAAAGAGTTAACAATATTTACATTGTAGATTTGTCCACTCTTTCAGAAAATGAACTCACTTGTTTTAGTGTGTTGGTTAATGATCCCCTCCTATGGCACAAAAGACTTGGTCATGCAAGTCTAAATCAGCTCAACAAAAGTCTCTAAAGACTTGGTGATAGGGTTACCTAATATCAAGTTCAAGGAAGACAAAGTTTGTGAGGCAAGTGCAAGGGGGAAGCAGGTAAGGTCATCCTTCAAAAGCAAGAAAATGGTAAGTTCAACCAAGTCGTTGGAACTGGTCCATATGGATCTATGTGGTCCAATGAGAACCATGAGTAGAGGTGAAAAGAAATATGTAATAGTGCTAGTTGATGACTATTCTAGATTTACCTGGGTTCTATTTCTAACCTCCAAAGATGAAGCATTTGACATGTTCTCTGCATTTGTTAGAAAAACTTAGAAACAATTAGGCAATCAACTTGCCTCCATTAGGTCTGATCATGGAACTGAATTTGAAAATTCCAAGTTTGCTGAGTTCTGTGATGAAAATGGTATAGATCATTACTCCATTTCAAAATGGTATAGATCATACATTCTCTGCCCCTAGGACCCCTCAACAAAATAGAGTAGTTGAAAGAAAGAATAGAACTCTTGAGGATATGGCTAGAACCATGCTACTTTCTAGTAAATTGCCTCACAGCTTCTGGGCAGAGGCTGTAAACACTACATGTTACATAATAAATAGATGCATGACTAGACCTCTAGTAGAGAAGACTCCCTATGAGTTACTTAAAGGGAGAAAATCAAACATATCTCATCTTAGGGCATTTAGTTGCAAGTGCTATGTGTACAATAATGGAAAAGGAAAGTTTGATCCCAGAAGTGATAAGGGAGTATTCTTGAGATATTCTTCACATAGCAAATCATATAAAGTGTTTAATAAAAGAACTTAGTGTAGAAGAAAGTGTGCATGTTGTATTTGATGAAACTAACATTCTTTCTGAGAGACAGAAACATGAAGATGAAGCCATTGGATTGGTAAAAGACTTGACTGAAGCATCAGCTCAGGTCAAAGTGGCACCAACAGAAGGAACATGTGATGGAACATGTTATTCCATACAGGGCAACCTCATAGGGGGAAGAAATCAATGTGGAATTGAAATAAATTCCTTGAAGGAACCTGTTCATGATCTTGTTTTTCAGCAAATGGCAGAAACATCTAGCGGAAGCCAGTTGGTTGTGAAACTTCACAAGTATCAAAGTTCTCATCCCATTGAGAACATTCTCACTGATCCAACATCTGGAGTTAAAACAAGATCACAATTAAAGAATCTGTGTGCTTTTGATGCTTTTCTATCTATCATTGAACATAAAAATGTTGTTAAGACTTTGCAGGATGCAGATTGGGTGAATGCAATGCAGGATGAGGTTAACCAGTTTGAAAGGAGTCAAGTTTGGCACCTAGTACCAAGACCCAAGAACATATCAATCATTGGTACAAAATGGGTCTTCAAGAACAAACTTGATGAAGATGGAACAGTTACAAGGAACAAGGCAAGATTGGTGGTCCAAGGTTACAGCCAGGAGGATGGAATAAACTATGATGAGACTTTTGCTCCAGTTGTAAGACTAAAGGCAATCAGACTTCTCATAGCCTTTGCAGCACATATGGAATTATTCTTCATCAGCTGGATGTCAAAAGTGCCTTCCTAAATGGCTACCTAAT